CCATCGCTCCAAATAAAAAGAAATTATTCTGATAGGGTTATGATAAGAAATACAGATTGTGCAATTTAAATTTTCAAATCACTCCAGATACTTACTTAATAATTGATACTAATTTTTTTATTTTAAAACGTGGCGGGGTTGTTTTCCCCAAATTTCACAGCTTTGCATTACTCGTGGGGACTTTCTACAAAATATCCCTAGTTGTTTTCTTGATATTATTTGCTTTTTTTTTTCGGTTCAGCGTAAATCTAAATTACTGAATTACGTAACGTGTTTGTTAAATGACCTTACAATCTTCTATTGGTAATATACACGCCTGGTAATGGCGTCGAATAGTGGCGATGACATTGTTGAAAATTTACTGCAATGTGCGGTGTGCATGGAGTCATATGAAGAATCCGGACGCCAGACACCCAAAATGCTTCCGTGCCAGCATTCTTTTTGCGTTGAATGTTTTGGAAAATATTTCCAGATTCGGAAGGTATTTTTGTATATTTATATCGTTTGTGATAATGGACTTTTTTCGTTGGGTATATCAAACGTATATGAATATATATATACATTATTTATATCTCGTGCTAAAACATGTCATAGCCAGCTATAGCTCATTTAAACCCTGAATTAGTAAGTCATGATTTTGAAATGATGAGTATATGAGCTTTATCAAAGTATATATGTTATATTTTAAGCCCTGAATTAGTTAATCCAAGCTACTAATATAAATCTAATTGTCTGACTGTATTTTGTTGCGTAAAATACAAAGATTGCATTATACTTCGAAATGACTTTTATCAGATCCTAAATTACCATTTTTATTGCAAAATGTAACAATCGGGGTCAATTTGATGTTATTTTCATCGATATTTTCATAGGAAATTCATAAAAACTATAGTCAAACCGGCATGAACAATTCGCTGGGTCGGTTTCGGCCCGTGAGTCCTATTTTTGCCGGCTAAATTTTCTGATTTGCTTGCCTGCGTTTATTCTTCAGATTCTCGTTTAGATTTATATTTCCAACATATGTATATCTACAGGCTGACTGGGAAATATTTAATTGAGTCACTGATTTAACACTTTATTTGCAGTATACAGTGTCCAAGTTGTCGTGAACAATTCTCCACATCTGTGATGAACTTCCAGAAGTCTCGTTCTTATTCAGCTATTGGACACCAGAGGGTCATCACCTAGAAGAAACAACGTACGGACTAATAACCCGCTTATTTTTTTTCAAATATGGCACTAAACGAAAAAGTTTTTGCAAAAAACACTAACTAGGTCGAGAAAGGCCTAAGAACAGATGTTCGTTTATGTGTTGTTTGTTAAAGTCTTTCTATTTTCAACATTCATTAATGCTAATTACTATCTTTAGATTACTAACCAATATGTTTCTATAGGATTTTTTAGATAAATATTCAACAATCAAAACTGTTTCTAGTTCTTGTCTAAAATGCCAAATTGATGTTTTTATATTTAGGTAACTGATGCGAATCTTTCAATTCTGCCTCAAAGAAAAAATTTCGTGACCCCGACAACGCAAAAGAGTATTTATCCAAACTTATTGAAAAATATTGAGGGTGAAAAAGTTCAACTTAGAAGAAATTGAGGCATGGGATATTTTTACGATTATTATGTTTTAAAATAGTTTAGTTTCTTGGAGTGTTTTCAAATTCGACTACGATAAAATCTATCTGGGGTGATTTGATCATCGTACGTATCTTGTTTGTAACTAAAATTACCTTTATTACGTCATAATTATTTACAACTGTAATAGGTCCATTACGACGTCAACAATCCATTAGGCGAATTACGTACCCAATTGGTGCTGGTGAGGCATGCAGTTAGTGTAGTAATTGTGATTGAGTGACCATGTTGCGAACGCCAATGATATTTCCCTGCTTATTATTTCTGTGTACATTACATTCGAAACTGGCAACCTTATTTCCGCGTGTACCTGGTCGTAAATCATGTTAATTTCTTAGAGATGACTCAAAGGTAGAGGAGTCGATATATAACTTGGAAGTTGTATCGTTAAACCATATTTGTGGGCTTGTCTAGGTTTGGTGAGTCACGAGCCCGAATGAAACTTTACATCAGGAAGTTGCAATGACTCATGTTACCTTTTTTCGATTTTAGAATAATGTAGATCAGCTCAAATAAAGGCCAGGAAACACAGCGCAATGTAAATTGACATAACCTAATCATTGCAAAAACAAGAGAGCTGCGCTCCAATATATGGACACGTAGCTCTCAAATTCACTGTGGTACGGTACGGTAACTTACCAACAGGCTTGATCACGTAACCGTGATGCGTTGATATGTGTTCGCGGAATCCCCACGTGGTGGCAAATTTTATTGACGTCATACCTCAAAAGTAATGAATCCCATTAAGCCCATAGGAATATTTAAAGTTAATAAAAGTAATAGCCTTCTAGGAAAAAAAGCCATCTTTAACCACTAAAAGTTTCAAGGCAATTGGTCCAGTAATCAAAGAGAATATGCAATTCTTCCTAATGATCTCGGGTGTCCCTGGGTCATTTTGACACCCCTCTATAATTTTTTTAATATTTCAACAACCAAAAATGCCAAAAACATCATTAATGTGTCCCTAAAAATCTTATTTTCGTCGCTTTCCACTAAAACGCGCCCAAATTACGTAGCGCAAATTGTACGGTAAGAAGAGAGAAATTTCAAAAAATTTCGAGAAAAAGTTTCTCACTTTTAACGCTGTGGTCGACACGTGATTGATATGCGAGAGAAAGAGTTCTCTTTTAGAAGAGCTTTACGTCACCTTCAAAATAAAACAAGACTGGGATTTGTAAGTGAAGTGATATTCGTTTTATCGAAGAGCATTTGATCGCGTGCTGTCTGGTATCTTTGTTTGTTTATTATGAGCCGGAGAACGTTGCTCGCGCGTTCAAAATACTTCGTTTTCAACTAACAACAGCTTCTTTGTTTATTTTTAAGCTTTGAAATACTCATACAAATAAAATTGACCTTGTTGCAAAATAAAAATTATACATAAAAAAAATATGATGACGTCACCGTAATTAAGAACACCCGGATCAAGCATGGATAATTTAAACTCAAACATTTTGAGTTTTGAAATTGATTTTGTTCACATGCAGATCACTATTAAATACTATTGACCCCCAAAATACATTTAATTTAGCCATAATCCCAAATTATGACACAGATTAGCCATTCATGAGCAGGCCGATCCCATTGGGTTTTAAATATTGCTTCTAAATTCTTTCCTTGTGGTATTTGTTGAGTCCGGAGTTGGCAGGATCCATTCAGATACAGAAAAAGGGAAAAGGCTAATATAACTATCAGTAGAGTTGCGCGAGACTAACTCCCAATTCTTTCTCAATGACTTTGCGCTAGTGGATCCGTATGCATGTAATGCAAGGATGCTGTAGCAGGAATAAAATACAACTGTAAAACTTCTTGTCTGGGGAAGTCTGATTTTGGTCAGACGAGTCGTTACACGCATACGGATCTACCAGCGCAAAAGGATTCGGAGTTAGTCACGCGCACCTCTACTGATAATCAAAGAGAAAAGCGACATTTTCATAACGATGAAATTCTGCGTCAAAGGGCAACAACAACAACAACATACTAATAATAACAAAACGATCGCTATGTCCACTAACGTGTCCAATAAGGACGCAGTCCTGACCTGACGTCTCTCATCGTCATAATCAAGCCCTGCTTAGATCGATAATGGTGAATGGGATGTGAATACCTACTTCATATGATGATTATGGTAATGTATTGCCAGCTTGTACAGTTGCACTGTTTCATGCTGGCTAAGATTTAATCCAATATACTTTAATACAATAACTTAATAATTTGATTGTATATTTTTAGGCGGTGCTCAATTGCATTCAATACTACAGAATACCAAGCGACAAAAGTCGCTCAATTCAAATTATAGCCACGAAGTTTGTGATGTATTCAATTTCATTTGGCGGTGGAGCAGTGACAGTACATTTGCTTTCCGAAGTAAATATACGTACTTAAATATACATTGATGTAGGCTTTTGCATACCAAGTTTGCTGAAACAGCAGTTAATTTTATCTTAGTCCTAAAAATCCACTTTTGATAGGTTGCTACTGAGCTGATAAAAACTATGGAAGTCTTCAAAGACGATAAACTCTCTTCCGAGGTATTGCTCTTATGCCTGGCAGTTTTGGCTTTACCCGCTATGATGAATAAATCGGTAAGATGTAATATATTCGCGTTGGTCCCATGGCTTTCTTTTCTTATTGTACCGTGTCAGCACAATTTTTCTAATCTATTTTGCAGTTTTGTGTAGTGATCGCTAGAATATTTGAAACGTTTGTTGCAACTTGCAACCTAAACTTAAAGGCGTCTCAAACATAAAAAAATACGCGTAAATATGTGACAGCTGAAGTGTATATCCTTTGTTTTATTATTTAGTAACATCAATTAATCTTTGGAACACCAATTCTGTCAAAATCGATTTTATTTTGATGTGTTATGGCACAAACTAATAATGTTCAGATTAATGTGATTCGGTGATTACGGGCTTTCCAGCTATTTTTGTGTTTAGAGCTTCAGTAACCTGGATTTAGCTCATCTGCTGATGACAATTTTGACTACAAATCAAAATTCGGGAATAGAAAGAAAGTTTGTGGAATTTCTAACTAACATACCAAGAAAACTGTCTCGATCAGATAACGCTATTATCGGAAACAGAAAATATGTGGAGGTAAATTGTTTTTTAAAAATTTGTTTAAATGTTTGCTAAAACGTTAAGTATTCCGACTATGTTCATTACTATGAAACTGACTAAAATATAATAAAGATAAAAATATACTCTGATTGTATTTTGTGCGTTTCATTAGAATATAATGATTGCATCAACGTAGAACTTTGTTGGAATAAATTACTTCTATCTAGAATCTGTTATCAATTTTGAGGAAGAAAACGAACACCAGCTCACGAGACGCAACGTTTATAATCTGCTGCACTGTGACGAGCCTAACAGATGAAACTCCCTCAACATGCACCAATATTGTTAATGCAGGGGGGCTAAGAATTTTCGCTGAACTGCTCGAGGTAGGTCTGAAAATAGTATTGGGTGCCACGACAACTGGAAGCGGAGAGTGAAAAATTAAAATGTTTATACTGAAAATAGATCATCTCGTTCGGCCATAATATGTTGGTCATGCTGTACCAACGAGGTTCAGCTATTTTTGAAAACTGAGTCAAAATTATAAAAAAAAAACATACTTGTAAATACATACAAAAACAGCATGGTTTCTTCAATTTATATTTTTTAAACTGCAACACATACTCAAAATGTTTTATTTTGATGAATCACCAACATCCATTCATTTATTGAATATTTTCAGACTTCTTTGATTTTGATTTTGAGTAACAGAACCGATACAACTGCTCCTTTTCAGATTCGTTAGACTGTTTTAACAGCTGAAATATAATTAGTTCGAGCGTTGATGTGTATAATGTATGTATATTTCATTTGATCCTAGATTTATATTTGTATAATTCGATTGTTGTACTTTAATAACTGCTTGTCTCGTTTTGACAGGATAACGATCCCAGATCAAATAAAGGGGTTCTCATGAATTTGGTAATGCATTAAATATTATTTTATTCTTCAACTATCATTATCTCGACCATGGGTGGGATTCAAATTTTTTGTCAGCCGGTTTCCATCACAAAAGTCATATTTTTCAGCCGGTTCTGTTACAAAAAGTCATATTATTTTAGCAAATAAACTGATTAATGCTAACCGGTTCGCTGATCCCAATAAATTCCGTGAGTTGGTTCTATAGAACCGGTGCGAACCGGCTGAATCCCACCACTGATCTCGACCATATATATTGTGTAAATATAATCTGCCCTGGCGGACCCTTACGTTGAGATTTTCATTTAATTTGATAGAGTAATATTTGGAATATACCATTGTTTGCTTAGTTGTATATTGTACATTTTATGCAATATCTAAAACAAGATAATTACCACAATAAAAGTTATGCAGTGCATTTAACTTAGAACAATTTGACGGAGGTACCAGAAATTTGCTACCACTTCTTGAACGGCAACTCCGGTGCAGTGGAGTGTCTACTAAAATTTATGAATTCAGATGAAATACATGTGAGAAATTATTGCTTATACGGGGGTGGGCAACCTTTTTCGGCTCGCGTGCCAAAATCGGGTAAATTTAACGACAAAATTCTTTCGCGTGCCGACAAAAATTAAAACAACTATTTGCTAATTTCAAAGCAAAAATACACATAAATAAACCTTATAAACATGTACAGATAGCTTCACTATTTAGAAAAATATCATTCCAACAATTAGATTTGATTACTTTTCTTATTCTATATCAGTCAGACTTCCGCTGCTGCATTACCGCTGATAGAGATTTTACATTGGGTTTATGTTTTGTAACTTTAAGAAAATACCTGAACTGCTTTCGGGCTACTCCTGTTAGAAGACTTAATTAAGTACATAAATGAGAACAGAGATTCACAAGCATAATGTAGATGAAAACATGGAGAGTAATGCAGTTGTAAAGTTTTCAACACATGAAATTTTTCGGGAATGTCATCCCAATCACGAAATAGTCCGTTTTCTGCACTTCTCTCTTGCATTCTCTTCCCTAATCGCTTATATTTCTTTCGAAATCAAGTGTTATAACTGTAAGTTAGCAAGTAATACTAACCAAAATGATCTGTACAACTTCATAAATCAAACAGAAGTGAAGAAAAGGGTGGCACAGTCTGACTATATTATGTAAGATAGTAGCCAAATGAATGCTGCGCTCTTTCCGACCAAATTTCTGGAGAGCCTACTCATTTGTTACTTCATAATGTATTTTTTAATCATATGTCATGATAGTACAAAAATAGTTTAAATAAATAACGGATTGTTAACAAACGATAATGAATAAACGTACACCTAATTTCATCAGATAATTGAAGGGTCTTGAAACTTTTTATCTGAAGGTGAATGATCTCGTTTGCCTCGCTCGCGTGCCGAATAAATGGGCTCGCGTGCCAAGTTTGGAACGCGTGCCAGGGGTTGCCCACCCCTGGGGCTTATAATATTCAAATTATATTGTCACATCACATTTATATCTAAAATACAACTTGCTCAAAATAATTATCTGTTCCCGCTTATATTCCTGAACTAAAATTGTTACCCCAGCAAAGCTACTTTATATTTGACAGAT